TATACCAGCTCATCTTTCTATTAATATACCTTGCATTGACAATTTAAGTTCAACCAATATCTGCTTTTTAAACTGTCTTGAATTTGAATTATATTGGTTGTCATTTTGTTTATATATACATACACGTATCTACATCTATATATAGTTTTGTGGGTTTTTTTGAGACAGGGTCTCACTCTGTCACCCAGGTGGGAGTGCAGTGGCACAACATCGGCCCACTGCAACCTCCTCTTCCTGGGCTCAAGCCAACCTCCCACCTCAGCCTCCAGAGGAGCTAGGACTATAGGCATATGCCACCATGCCCAGCTAATCTTTTGATTTTTTGTAAAGATAAGGTCTCACTATGTTTCCCAAGCTTGTCTCAAACTCCTAAGTTCAAGGGATCCACCTACCTCGGCTTCCCAAAGTACTAGGATTACAGGCATAAGCCACCATGCCCAGTTTATATTTAATTTGCAAATTTGTTTTAGTTTTTATGATTGTATAGCACACATGTAGTTTTATATTTTTACATATTTCAGAAATTTTATAATAAAGAGTAATAAAGGTAATGTTGCAGATCTGCAAGAATGTATTTTCTTTAAAAGAGATTTGTATATACCCTAGATTACTCAAATTCAGACATTAAACCAGATTATCTCTTTCAAGTTGAAAACCCTCTGATGAAGAAGCTAATAAGTACAGGATACAGACAGAAGGAATAGGAACCAATGGGTGTCCTCAGATCATTATGAGACTTTTCATTATAATCATTCAACTTTTTTTTTTTTTTTTTTGAGACACCCAGGCTGGAGTGCAGTGGCATGATCTCAGCTCAGTCCTCGACCTCCTGGGCTCAAGCAATCCTCCCACCTCAGCCTCCTGAGTAGCTAGGACTACAGGTATGCACCACCACACTCAGCTAATTTTGTTTTGTTTTTGATGGTGGTGGTGGTGGTGTTGGTGGTGGTGGTAGAGACAAGGATTGAGAGTGAGTTGCCTGGGTTGGTCTCAAACTCACGGGCTCAAATGATCCTCCCACCTCAGTCTCCCAAAGTGCTGGGATTACAGGCATAAGTCACCACATCAGCCCAAAATATTTTTTCTGTCTGCTTTCCTACAAGGAGAAAGTGAAGATGGCAGAGATATTCTAGTTGATCAAGAATGAAATGTTACCATGCAAATTCAAAACTATAAAGGGAAGCATCTCACACTTTGTATGGTTGTATCTCATCACTCAGAGGTGAGTAGACAGGGAAAGAGCTAGTAGTTACCATCTAGTCAAATAAGGACTGTCTTGTCCATGGAGGATTCATTACAAAACTGCTCTTAACATTTGTGAGCTACAAAGTCCACACATCTGAGTGGATTAACCCAGCAGTTTTGTTGTAGGAGCCCAGCTGGAAAGTGTTTCTAAGCGACTGATAGCAGCTCCTGTTTTCTTCAAGCCTAAACAATGACAAAGGCATTTCTTTTTAAAGTTCCAGGGAGGGTGGGAAGGGTACGGCTTTTTAAACCTGTAGTGTTCATTCCTAGGTTAGCATCCTCTTTGCCTCTATTGATGAGTGGCACCTCTCCCTTTCATTTAAATTCACTAGTTTGGTGATTATGTGGTTCCAGAGGAGAAGGCAGAAGTGATAGTGCAGCAGAGTTCCCACTCCTGTAACCCATGTGCCAAGTTACAGTCTGATAGATTCATGTAATAGGTTTCTAAATTGTGGAGTCAGACACAAAAGGTCATCAGCAGATGGTGAAACTGTTTGGGCCAAGCTAAGGGAATAAGGCACCCTGAAGGGGACACTGCCTTGGACTGGCGCAACATCACACGTGCTTTCTTCCTTCTTTTAGTCCTAATGTAAATGGATCTTCTCAAGTACATGAAGTACTAGAGACCAGAGGAGGACATCTAACCCCAGACAGCAAAAATACAGGATGTGCACAGATGCTTGGTGGGAGAGATAAGACCAATAACCATGACAGTGACTCACTACAGCAATCTGTGCCTCTTTCGCAAACATTTGAACTCAAGGTTTAGATTGAGTGAGTTAATTGTAGATATAACTAGAAGTATAAAGACACAAAAAGACAATAATGACAGCTTGATACTGTGAACAGTTACTGGGTCCTAAGCAATGATTTAAACATGTTACAACCATTATCTCATTTGATCCTACAACAAGTCTATGAGGTAGGTAGCATTAGTATTCCCATTTTTCAAGATCTGGAAACTGAAGCCAAGAGAGATTAGGTAAAGTGCGTGATAGTACACATAATAAGCCAGAATTCTAACTCAAGTAATCTCATTCCAGGACTCCAACTAAGCCACTATGCTGGGAGCAGAGATGGGGAAGAATTGCTGAGTCATGATAAGAGAAGGCACTACAGGAAGAAACAGTGAACCCCTACAGCTGGACAAGCAATGAGTCAGCCTGGGTGTTCACTCCAGATGCTCCCAGACACATCCCAGTTTCTGGGATGCCTTGCTGTGAGTGGTTTGTCACATATGTCCTAGTTGTGCAACTGTTCCTGGGTTACTATGAAGCCTAATCTCATTTCCACAAGTATTCTTGTAATAAACCTTCTCCATTGCTTTGGATAAACTGTGGATAAACTCTCTTGCCTCCCAAAAGCCTAACCCTGAAGTAAACTGGAAATGATTCTCCAGCAGTGGTTCTCAAACTTTAGTGTACATCAGAATCACCTGGAGGTTTGTTAAACCAGATTGCTGGGCTCCACCCCCAGAGTTAGTGATTCACTAGGTTTGGGAGGGGCCCAAAAATGTCCATTTCTAACAAGATCCCTGGTGATGCTGATGCCACAGATGCAGGAACCATATTTTGAAAATGACTAATTTAGAGCCTCACTAACCCCAACATGGAGATGCCCAGAAACAGCGGCCTCAACTGGGAGCTTGTTAGAAATGCAGGGTCTCAGCACCCACACAGGCCTACTGAACCACACTCTGCATTTTAAAACCCCTAGGTGCTTTGTGTTCATGTAAAGTTAAAGAAGCACTGCTAGAAATATCAGGAAGACACACACACAGGCTAATTTAGCAGGTTGGGAGTATGGCCTGGGCATGGGGACTTCCCGGATCTCTCTATGTGATTCTAATGTGCAGCCAAGGTTGTGAACTGCTAACCTTTTGGTGACATACTGGCATTTTCTTTTTCCCCACATGAATGTACAGGATATGTACTTCTCAAGGAAAAAAAAGTGGTCACTATATGTATTAAACTGACAGAAGAGGAAAAATGGAAATAACATATGTCTTAGATCTCCATTTTGGCGAAGACAGGCTTCAGCTATAAGGAATCACAGAATCAAATGAGACCAACGAAGTGAAATCATTTCTGAACCCGGTAAATATCACTGCAGCACTGATCTGCTGACCCAGGAGAGGAATCAGAAAGAACAATCTACTCATTCTAAATGAGTATTTACTCTCAATATGATGTGTTTCACTAGCCGCCTTTCCTCTAAAGCACTTTTTTTCCCTTGCACTTTTTTTTCTAAGTATATGTGTAGCTTTAGACAAATTATTCCAGTTCTCTGCACCTCAAGTTTATCAAATAAAAATCAAGAATAATCTCTAGCTCATAGTGTGTGGAGACTGAGTTGGATTCTCTATGAAGTGCCCAGCGCAGGCCTGGCCATCTAGTGAGAGCACAATGTATGGTCTACGTGGGAGAACTCCTCAGTTCGGAACTTTAATGATTAGGTAGCTAATGATCTGTAATACCCTCCTTAGCACCTGTTAATCTCACTTTAATAAAGACAGTATGTCTGGCCTTTTACAGGAAGCCACAGATACTCCAGCTGGCAAGGTTGGAGGCAAGGCTGGATCTGGACCAAAGAGGCTGGTCAGCAAGTGCTTGGGAGCCAAGTACTGAAAACATTCATCAGAAATGTTTCCTGCAGCTTTAATGGCCTGTAGACTGGGCAGGAGGCAGCTCTCTAAATTTACTGAAGTCAGAAGTTCAGGATGGGAACCTGCTCAGAAAGGGTGGGGCACAGCATTTCAGGGGTTGTGGTCATCTCCAGGAGAGTGGAGTAGGTTGTGAAGAGGCGAGTACTTCTACAGAATCTCTAAAGCCGTCATTTTGACATAGGAAATATGGAGGGGAAGGGATTGAGATGAAAAGTGAAACAACTCTTTCAAGTGTGTTTCCCCCACACTTCTCTCTTATCCTCCTCTGTCTGAGCTCTTCCATAGGTAGGTATTTTAAAAGATGCCTTTTCCAGCAGAAGTTTTGTAATACTTTAAAAACGCTCAGAGGCATTTTTCCAATTTGGAGTCAATATACTTTGTATACTGATGAGATACTGCAGTTAAGCAATTAGCTGTCTGCAACTAGTTAATTAAGAGATACTGCAGTACCTTGGCCTCAGGCATTAAGCAAGTCTAGCTGATAAGCTGGAAATTGGCAAATAAGGGGATTGACAAGACACAAGAGCATAATGCGACACTCAGGAATTTGTTTTTCCAGTGGGTAAATGAGTGAGTGCCACCTAAAGTTGTACAGGCGCGTCTTTTAGGAAGCCCAAATGTTGTCAGGAAAGCAGAGACTTCCAACTGTTGGAAAATGTAGCAGTAAACAGAATTCTTCCTAAATTTCATTCTGTTTTTCCTTTTCCTATCACCCCAGTCCTGAAATTACTGAATTTAAGGGGAGAGTTAAGACTGAGAAACCCTCGAGGTTGCCACCTGGTAGGGTCACAACTAGCAGAGACCTTGTGTGGACTTTTAAAAGGCAGCTTTTCCTCTAGCCAGACTCTTGCCCTTGCTCCAGCATCCAGCTTGCTGAGTATGACTGAACTGGACTCTACCTACACTCACCCTTTGGGAATTCATGCTCAACCTACACAACCGTAGGCAGGACCCCCACCTCTCACCCATCCAGATCAAAGGAAAACTAAACTTTGGAGAGTAAATCCTCTCAGAGAAGAGATCGGATCATTTCCCCCTACCTTGGAAGGAAAGGAACATTTCCAAGTGAAAGGTCTTGTCTGCTACTCACCTGTAACACAAGTCCCACAGTGCCTTGAGTGTTTGCGAATGTCTCCTCACACCAAGAAATGCCCCACTAAGGGACATCTGCATTTCTTGGAGCTGAGAATCACCTATTGGTGAGTGGAGTAGGAAATAGAGGAATAGCATCAGAATCTGGGCGGGCCTTGCACATGCCCACCTGAAGACCATGATGTGTGATCACGCCCCATAGGAGCATACCCTCTCCCACTCCCCACTCCCATCGCTTGCAAATTATTATGTAATGAGAAAATGCTGAAAGAGTATACACATGTGAAGAGGATCAAAGCAGAAAACAAATTGGGAAATTACAGATTCCTCTTTAAGTCAAAGCACAAGACTATTTGAATTGTATCTCTGTCCCACACAGTGTTCTTCAATGCCATGCTCATTGTGAGCTGCACTGACTACCTGCATACGAATCACTTGGATACATGTCAAAAATATATCCTAGGCTTACTAAATCTGAATTACTAGGAAGAGAACTAGAAATCTACATCTTTTAACAAAGTCTCCAGGTGACTTTTATGTATTCCGAAGTTTGTGTATGACTAATCTACCAGGACAGGTATCTTATACAGTCAATGTTTGTTTATCTATCAGAATCTGGGAGGGCTTTCCACACGCCCACCTGAAGACCATGTGTGACCACACCCCCATAGGAATGTGCCCTTTGCCACTCCCCAATCCCATCGCTTATGATTCTTTCACATTTAGAGAGTGGGCAGTGAATCCTCAATGTCATTTACACAGGTATCTATTAGCCCTAACCTAGTATAATTCTACTTGACTGTAAGCACAGAACAGCAATCTAACTTCCACTGGCCATAAATAATCATGAGCTTTTGCTAAGCTGTTTCCATTGAACTTATATGGGATCAATCATCCAGTTCTGAAACTGCCCTAAAACCAATCATATCTCAAATATGTGCCTGTTATCATGTATCCCCATTCACTCTGTTTCCAAATCTTGGGACAGTGCTGAGAAGAAGCTCTTTGCTGAAAGAGTGAAGGTGTAGTTGGGATGGAAGGAGAAACACATGAGTAGGTTAACTTGTCTCTGAACAAGGTAGTCCATTTCCTGGCCACATTCAGAACCTCCTTTTTAGTGCCCATAGAAGACTCCATGAAGTTAAAGGGTGCAAAGGGCACAAAGGGCTTTAGGACAGACCAGGAGAACAGCTTTAAAGTAGCCAGGGTGTATTAGTTTCCTATTGCTGCTATAGCAAATTGCCACAAGTTTGGTGGCTTAAAACCACACAGATTTATTATTTTATAGTCCTCTTGTAGTTAAAAATCTGGTATACGTCTCACTAGGCTAAAATCAAGGCACCCGCAAGGCCGCATGCATTCCTTTCTGTGGGGTCTAGGTAGGACGTTTCCTTGCCTTTTCCAAGTTCTAGAGGCTGTTCTACTGTTGTTGGCTTGTGACCTCCTTCCTCCATCTACAAAGCCACAAAGGCAAGGCAAGTCCCTCTCATATTGCATCCCGCTGAGCTCCTCTTGTACCTCACTATTCCACAGGTAAGGACCCCTGTGACTATACTGGGCCCATCAAGATAATCAAGCATAATCTCCCTATTGTAAGGTCAGCTGATTGACAACCTTAATTCCATCTGTAATTAACTTATTATTAATTCCATCTTAACTCCCCTTTGCATGTAAGCAACATATTCACAGGTTCCAGGTATGAGAACATGTACATCTTGAAGGGGAGGGTGATTATTCTGCCTACCACACAGGAGAACTCTGAACCCTAGTTAAGGATGAGAGCAGATGTCATAAACACCACATGTCAATTCCAAGATATGAGGTTAGGCTACAAATAGGAAAGTAAATCTAGTGATCAGAAGCATGAGGGATTGAAGCAAACCAAGCTGCAGAACAGGCAAGAGGTTAAAGTGGTTCAGGACTCACACAGAGAATTATGCAGTAGAGTTGAAGGCTTGCTTTCACAGGATGCCAGTTGGATTGTGGCACCACTCATGAGCTTGAAAGGACATGTAGGTCCAGACAAAATTTCACTGATGCTATCTCATCTCTCAATTTCTTACCATTTTTCATTATTCTCCTGCTTACTTTTCTCTCTTCTGTTCAGCTCTCTGATCTCTTCCATATCTTCCTCCTAACCCTTACTTTTTCTTCAAAGATAAATGAAAGAAAATCAACTATATATAAAATTGGGGGGAAGTTAATGTTTTTACAGTATTTTCTGAATTTCATTAGAAACATACACTACATGCCAGTGACATCTGCTTTGATTATAACATTCTAAGAGGCATTGCCTTGTATTCATCTTTGAAAAAAGTTGCAAAAGTTTTACATACATTTTAGCACCTATTACAAAGAATCTAACAGTGTCATAAACCCAGTAAACATTAAAATGTAAATTGATGGGGACAAAAAAGTATTTAAAAATTGTTTCAGGGTAAAAACAAGAGGTCAACCTGAGGTTCAGAGTTAAAGGAATTGCTGAGGAATAGATAATGCTACTAGGAACCCTGGCTGAAGTACGCTGGAATGCAGGAAAAATTGGATTCCTGTTCTGCTAGCTGCAGTTCTGCCTGGAGCAGATTTTTTTTTCTTTTTTCTTTTTTAATGATACTTTAAGTTCTGGGGTACATGTGCAGAACATGCAGGTTTTGCTACATAGGTATACACATGTCATGGTGGCTTGCTGCACTCATCAACCCATCATGTACATTAGGTATTTCTCCAAATGCTACCCCTCCCCTTACCCCTCACCCCCTGACAGGCCCCAGTGTGTAATGTTCCCCTCCCCGTGTCCATGTGTTCTCATTTTTCAACTCCCACTTATGAGTGAGAACATGCAGTGTTTGGTTTTCTGTTCCTGTATTAATTCGCTGAGAATGATGGTTTCCAGCTTCATCCATATCCCTGCAATGACATTAAGTAATTCTTCTTTATGGCTGCATAGTATTCCATGGTATATATGTACCACATTTTCTTTATCCAGTCTATCATTGATAGGCATTTTGGTTGGTTCCAAGTCTTTGCTATTGTGAATAGTGCTACAATAAACATACGTGTGCATGTGTCTTTATAGTAGAATGATTTATAATCCTTTGGGTATATACCCAGTAATGGGATTGCTGGATCAAATGGTATTTCTAGTTCTAGATCCTTGAGGAATTGCCACACTGTCTTCCACAATGGTTGAACTAATTTTCACTCCCACCAACAGAGTAATAGCATTCCTATTTCTCCACATCCTCTCCAGCATCTGTTGTTTCCTGAGTTTTTAATGATCACTGTTCTAACTGGCGTGAGATGGTATCTCGTTGTGGTTTTGATTTGCATTTCTCTAATGACCAGTGATGATGAGCCTTTTTTCATATGTTTGTTGGCTGCATAAATGTCTTCTTTTGAGAAGTGCCTGTTCATATCCTTTGCCCACTTTTTGATGGGGTTGTTTGTTTTTTTCTCCTGGCACAGACTTTTTTGGATCTCCTAACTGGAGCAGATTTCAGCATGTGTCTGTATTTCTGTATTAGATGCTGGTACAGAATCATCTATGACCTTAAGTCATCATTCTCTGCCTCTGGCTCAGAAAGATTGTTGTATTCTACTGACTGTTCACTTTTGTGTTGGGTTTATTTTAAATTATAACAATAATAAATGCTCAATTTATCTTCCCAAAATTCAAACCATGCAGAAATGCATGAAGAGGAAAAGTCACTGCTCTACTCCTTCCCCATTCCACCTTCTCTCCCCGCAAAATAACCATTAAAGGGTATATATTCTTCCTGGCCTTTCTCTGTGTCACACAGAGGTGTATGAGCATATAGGTATATCACTTTGTTGTCCTCATTAACTTGCTTTTTGCACTCAATACATCCTGGATATCCATCCATGGAAGTATAATTAATTCAACCACTTTTTTAATTGGTTTCATAAAGAGAAAAATGCCCTGTGATTTGTTTAACTCCTCCCTTGTGGATGGATATTTACTTAGTTTCAGGACTTTTTTTTAAGTATATAATGATTAATTTCACTTGCTTTTTCCTGATCAATTTCAACTGTATTTTGATGCTTCATTTGAAGGCTATTAGGCTCCTGTGGATCCTTTGGAAGGTTGCTGTGGTCATCAATACAGTGTCAGGCCACCTGGAGTTAATGTGGAACAAAGCAAACTGAGATTCTGGAAAATGGAGCAGAACCATCCTTCATTCTCCTCTGGGCTTCTCCCTATCTATCCATAGGCTTCCTCTTCCCTCTCTGTGAACTAACACAGAGGCTTGTGGGACTTAAATCAATAGTTCTCATGGGGCAAGTCACCAAGTTTGGGGAATATCTTAGTCTTCTTTAATCCTCAATTTATGGAAGAATATTGGGCAACAATCTCTGAGAATTCTCAAAATGGTATTTAAAAAGAGAATATGGATTTTAGAGTCAGATGAATCTAAATCCTCCACCTGTTAAATTAATGATCTTGATCAAAACACTAAACATTTCTGTTAAGGGTGCTCCCAGGGTTGCTGCAAGAATTAAACGGAATATTAGATGCTCAATAAATTTAAGAGTTCCTTTCAACTTCTTGTCTCCTTCTGTGTAGCCCCCTTGAATACCTGGGTCTCTCCTTCAACTCCACAAGGCACCAGTGCCAGCCAATATAGTATTGTCCTCTCCTTGAATCATGGACTGGAGGCTGTTATTTGGCCTCGGTTCAACCAGCTGATTTCTCTGAAGACTGGGTTTTTGTCCTTGCTCTTCTTTCACCTCATGTTTAGAAAGGAAAGATTTTCTTGAAGGACACTGCTCCACCTGATTGTCCCATCCTCTTTTCTCTAAAGCTTAAAAGCCTCTGGATTCCAAAGCCTACCTGACATTGGGTCAAAATTGCCAAGCTTGGATTTAGACTTGACCTTCTCTTATTCATCATTCCCTTCATCTCCCCCTACTCCATAATTCAGTCTCCATTTATGTTTCTGTGCCGCCATCCCCTCCGATCTGTCTCTCCTGTGCTGGTTCTACCATAGCTTTCCTTTGCTAGAATAATGAGGCATTGCCGTGTAGTCTGTTAGGCTCCCAAAGTTCACCTCGGCTGACTGTTTATCTTGGTTCT